CTGTGGCCTCCCAGAGGTCTGGAATTACAGGTGTAAGACGCTGCACCCAGCTGATGTTCCCAATTAGGTCAGGCTCACCAAGAGTAATTGCCCCTCTGATTAACTCAAAGCCAACTCATTTGGCAACTTAAATATACATGTATAATTCCCTCCCCTCTGCCAAGGAGTGTCCTCCATCATAGTCACAGGTCCTGTGGACAGCCTCGGATAAGGGATTCAGAGGTACTTATACTATGGAGCGGGTATCTTGGGATCCACCTTAGAATTTTGCCACCATAACAGGATTCTGGGCTTCAGAGATTTTGGTCATAAAGTTTGCTGACAGATGAGATTAATCCAAAATGTTATCTTTTGATTTTTGTCTTTTTCACCTTGCAAAAAATATACCCCATGAAAAATCTACCTAAGAACCTTGCCTTAATGCTATTACATTTGGCAAATGGTAAAGAAATTTGCATTCCAAAGCTGGTCCATCTAAATTATCAACTCTTTCCAATTTAATCTGTGTAGATGAGACTAGTAAAGAAAAAAAATTTAACATAGCAACTTTTTATGTTTGATAAAAATAAGCATTTCCAGCCTGGGCAACAAAGTGAGACTCAGTCTCTTAAAAAAGTAAATAAATAAAAATAATAAAGTAATTAAAAATGTATATGTATTATTTTCTTCATGATGAACACAGACAAATGTGCACACACATACATGTACACACTCATTGTGCACATACGTGCCCATGGTGGAATTGGCTTGTGATTTTCTATTCTCTAAATGAGCGAGGGCTGTATCTGAGCATTTGAGAAAAAATGAAAGTAAACCTTTAAATTTGAATAGAATCCACACTCCTTGGAAGGAGGGGGCAATTGTGTAACAATCCTGTTGGCTCTTAAGGACAATGACTAACAGGAGGCTTTGGTGTGAAATGGACTGTTCAGACACCTGGTGATCACAATGGATTCAAGCTGTTTATACAGGAATGCACTGAAACTAAGCAGAATACTTTTCTGGGCTGGGAGTAATGAATCTTTGCCGCATTACCTTCTAAATATCTCTCCCTCCACTACCTTCTCTCTATTGCTCCTACACTGGTCTAAGCCACCACTGTCCTTTGTCTGAATGATAAAATTGCCTCTCCACACACTCCCTGAGTCCCCTCCCTGCAGAGAAGCCAGAGCGATCACCTTCTTTTTTTCTCTTATTTTTCTGCAGAGTCTGACAACATACCGTGTGATCACCTTCAAACACAAACCTGATCCTGATCATACAGCTCCTTGGCTCACAACCCATGTGCTGTTGTGCTGTTTCCACCAGCACTAAAGCTGAGACCAAAAAAGCCTTAAGTTGTCCTATAAAATGCTGTGTGGTCTGTCCCTTCTGGTTGCTCATGACTATCTTGCCTTCTCTTTCTTTCCCTCTCTGCAATCTGTGAAACTATTTTTTTTCAAGTTGTTCAAATGTACAATACTCCTTACCATAAATAGTCACAACTGTTTATGAATTTTCTTATGGCCAACACCTACGCAAACCTCAGCCCTCAGCTAGAATGCCACCTCCTCTGGGAAGCTCCTTCATCCCTTCCTACACTGGATTAAGTACCCAGGATGGTAGGTGACATTTTCTAAAATAGGCATAGCATATTTCTTGTCCCACAAGCTATTCCAGGAGTCTATTGGCCCTCCTCTTAGATTTTTTTCTGAGGGAGGACTTTGTAATAACCTTTATGGAAAAAAAAACCATGGAAATAATACTGCATGATTTCCAAGGCTGGGTCAGAAAAAGTAATATGGAAACTGGGCACAGTGGTGTGTGTTTATAGTCCCAGCTCCTTGATAGAGGCTGGAGTTGGAGGGTCACTTGAGTCCAGGAGTGCAAGGCTGGCTTGAGCAACATAGCAAGACCCCATGTATACAAAACATTTAAAAATTAGCTAGGCTTGGTGGTACATGCCTGTAGTCCCAGCTACTCAGGAGGCTGAAGCAGGAGGATTGCTTGAGCCCTGGACTTGGAGGTTATAGTGAGTTATGATTGTGCCATGACACTATGACAGCCCCATCTCTAAAAATAAAAAAGTGAAGGAAAGAGTGATATGATTTTCACCTGACTAACTCACTCTCAGGTCAATTGTTCTTAGAACCTAGCTGCCATGTTGAGAAGAAGCTCAAGCTGCATGGCGGGTTGGGGAGGCACATATAATTATTCCAGGCAAGAGCTCCAGGAAAGATCTCAGCCTATAGCCAGTAGGAAATGACAGACCTGTGCATGAACAAGCATTCAGATGATTCCAGCCCCCCAGCCTTATCAGTCACCACAGCTGACACCAAAGGCATCAAGGATGAGCTACTTCTGCCAAATCTGCCCAAAATGGAGATTAGAGCATGAAATAAATGTTGTTGTTGTCATCTGAAGCTTCTAAGTCTTGGGCTGGTTTGTTACACAGCCACAGTTAACAGGAATTTAGAAACTATTATTCTTATACCTTCTTTAGAAGTATTTGTTTATACTTGAAACTTAAAATCTGTGTGACTATTTGATTCATGTCTATCTGTCCCAAAAGAATGAAAGTTTTGAGGGCCAAGTTCATATTAGTTTTCACCATTGTATTCCCTATGCCTAGCACAGTGCCTGGTAAACAATGCACTCAATTATAATTTAGTCTCAACTTTGGCCAGGTGTGGTGGTTCATGCCTGTAATCCTAGCACTTTGGGAGGACGAGATGGATGGATTACTTGATCTCAGGAGTTCAAGACCAGCCTAAGCAAGAGCGAGACCCCCATCTCTACTAAAAATGGAAAAAAAAACAACAACTATCTGGGCATAGTGGTGGGTGTCTATAGCCCCAGGTACTCAAGAGGCTGAGGCAAGAGGATTGCTTGAGCCCAAGAACTTCATGTTGCTGTGAGCTATGATGGCGCCAAGGCACTCTAGCCTGGGGCAACAGAATGAAACTCTATCTCAAAAAATAGCAATTATTCTCAACTTTTCTGCACCTGTTCATATATGTGCTTGGGACCAGGAAACCACCAGCCTACTAAGGCAATGGTGCAGGAAGTTCTGTAGAGAATAGTTTGCTTGGGTAGAAAATCCTTCAAGAAAAAGTTCAAAGGGACCAAGTCTAATGGCTTGCAATGTAGGTGCTTAGATTTCATCTCATAAGAAATACAAAGGCCTTGGAGATTTGGAAGCCATGGTGGAATGATGTGAGTTCTTGAAAATACCAATGCTGGGAAAACTGGTTAGGAGGCTCCTGAACTGGTCCAGTTGGGAAGTAATAGGGTCAAAGATAAGAAAGTAAAGGACTGGGACTAAGTTTAAGGCTGTTTAGCAAAAATTCAGTGCACAGGGGCCGTTTGGGGGTGATGCATGCACACACTCTGATTCTAACATCACCTCCCAAAGCAGAGATCCACAAATTTTCCCCATAAAAGCCAGATGGTAAATAATCAGGCTCTGCAGGTCACAGCTACTCACTTTACCTCCTGTAGTGCAAGAACGCCAGAATGGGCGTGTCTGTGTGCCAATAAAACTTTATTTAGGAATGCTGGAATGTGGATTTCATAGAATTTTCATACGTAACGAAATATTCTTCTCCTTTGGATTTTTCTCTCAACTACGTAAACATGTAAAAATCCATTCTTAGATTGAGGGTTCGGGCAAAAGCAACTGGTAAGCTTACCCGGCAGGTTTACCCACCACTCTCGATACGTAAATCCTTAGTTATGATACCAATTGGGAAGCTAATGAGTCCCTCAAATAGCTTCGCCCCGTTCTCTGACGTCACTGGGACTCACCCACAGGGGCGGGCCATACGCATGCGCGGTCAGCCCTCGGGCGGGGGCGGGGCGGGCTGCAGCTCGAACTTCCAACATGGCGCACGCTGGCTGCGGCGGCGGCGGCGGCGGCGGTCCCACGGGCCGGGGGCTAAGCGGCGCCCGATGGGGTCGCTCGGGCTCCGCTGGCCACGAGAAGCTGCCAGTGCACGTGAGTGGCGTCCCCGCCTTCCATCGAACACCCAGTCCTCTGGCCCCCGCAGGCGGGTGCCCCTCGTCCGGGCCCCACCCGGCCCCGCCTTGGCCTCTCCTTTACGCGGCTCTGGACCCCCCACCTCTCACCTCCACCCTCCAAGGGCCCAGCCCGTCCCCCTTTCCGTCACAGATCCCAGCACGCCCTCCCACCCGCTCCGTCCCGGACTCCTGGCCCACCGGGACCCACCCTCTCCCCGCAGGTGGAGGACGCCCTCACCTACCTGGACCAGGTGAAGATCCGCTTTGGCAGCGATCCTGCCACCTACAACGGCTTCCTGGAGATCATGAAGGAGTTCAAAAGCCAGAGGTACCTGCGGGTGTCCTCCCCTCTACTGGGGGCCCTCCTGGGCCGGAAACAGGCAGAGCGGAATGGGATCCCCCTTCCTCGCTATCCCCTCCTATCCCAGCCCGGTGACCTTGCGCAGCTTGTAGGAACCTCCGCTTCGTCTAAAAAAAGGGCAGGGGGAAGTATTCCCACCTTGTTGCGCTGTCCTGAGAATTCCTGGAAGGAGGGCAGGAATGGGGAAGGTTGAGGGGAGGCCAGTGCACACGCAAAATCAGATCCTACTTTGATTTAAAATGTTGATTTTTAAATAAACCTTGCTTGTGAAGGATTTGGGGGGATTCATTGTGCTTTTTCTCCCCCGAGTACTGCATCAAAATGTTGTCTTGATGATTGAGTTTTTTGGCACCCTCTCCCCTTGAATCTTGACTCCAAGATGCTTTACTCAGCTGACTGCTTCCAGGCCTGCTTGGAAGTAAGGAGCACAAAACGCTTAGTAAGGGGCCTGGCACATAGAAAGCATTTAAAACACATGAGCCATAATTGTAGACACAGAATCAAGAGGGTTAGAGAGAGATGGGAAAGAAGATCATGCCCTCGTTTTGTTTGTTTGTTTGTTTTTTGTTTTTTTTACAGGAAGTTCACTGGGGCTTGGAGCGGAGCCAGTAAAACCTGCCTTAGTGGCAGAAGTGGGACTAGATTCTTAGATTCTTGCAGGTCACATCCAAGCATGCTACTGCTCCCTCTTAGGAATGGTGTTAGGATGGGCCTGATTTCCTTCTACAAGTGCAGGACTAAGGCTTGGGTCATGCCTATAGCCAGGAGGAAAACCGTTCTCACATTCTAATGCATTTCCCTGTGTTTGACAGGCCTTTGGTATTTCTGCTTTGTAATCAATTGCTCAGATCAAAACCTGTGTCATAGTCACCCCTGATTCATACAAAGTGAGAGAATTTAATCACATCACTTCAAGCAGCAGTCCCCAACCTTTTTGGTACCTGAGACAAGTTATATGGAAGACAGTTTTTCCACAGACCCAGGGGGAGGGTGAATAGTTCTGATGTGAGTCTGCAAGCAATTGATTTGTTATGGTTTCTGTGCAGTCAAACCTCTCTGCTAATGATAATAAGTGTTTGTAGCCATTTCCTAGTCTAGCATCACCACCTCAAATCATCAGGCATTTGCTTCTCATAAGGAGCATACAACTCGATCCCTTGCACATGCAGTTTACAGTAGGGTTCAGCTCCTGTGAGAATCTAATGCTACCACTGATCAGACAGGAGGTGGAGCTCAGATGGTGATGCAAGTGATGAGGAGTGGCTGTAAATACAGAGGATGCTTCAGTTGTTTGTTGTCCCCTTCTCCTGCTACATGGGGCAGTTCCTAACCGGCCACAGACTAGTATCAGTCTTCGACCTTGGGAACTGTAGACTTACAGCGCTTTGGCTTCCTGCTACATCTTGGAGTCCAGGCCTTGCAGGTGGCTCTCCTGACGTTTTCAGAATCGAGTGTGCTTACATGTGTTTACAGTGTTTTGGAGAGCTGTGCTGGGTAAAAATACTCTAGTTCTCATCAGGAGGGTGCTGAGAGCTCAGGCCTAGTCATTCTGGAAGTAGATCATTGTCTACAGATGGTATAACAAGGGTCCTATTTTCGGTTGCTTCATTGTCAGTTGAGAAGTTTGTTATGACCATATCAAGAGAATTGGGATTAGATTTTGTTTTTAATTTGCTCTTTAAGACATTTTTGCCGTCTTGCATTCCTCTTTTCTTCTAGCATTGATACTCCTGGAGTCATCAGACGTGTGTCACAGCTGTTCCATGAGCACCCCGACCTCATTGTTGGATTCAATGCTTTCCTTCCCCTTGGATACAGAATAGACATTCCCAAGAATGGCAAATTAAACATACAGTCGCCTCTGACAAACCAGGTATGCTGCTGCAGTGGTTTAGGTGATCTCAGCATTAACACAGCACACTCTGCTACTCAGGTTGAGCCACGTCTACTTTGTGTCATTGCTGGAAAGCCACTTACAATGCATTCTTTATCTAGATACGCTAATCGCTTTTAGCACAAATCAAAATAGGTTGAAACACCTACACAGGCAGCCTCTGCTGCCCAGTTGATCTGTTTGGAATGTTCCAAGGGTGTCTGATCTGTCCCACGGGCTGCATGCTGTTTTTTTTGTTTTTTTTTTTTTTTAGACAAGAGTCTCAC